TTGCCATTTCCACACATTTAACTCATGATAATGACCTGGTTACTCAGACTGTGCTAAAATTGTAGACATTTGTTTAAATAACTTTCCTACAGGTGGAGTTTGTCTTGTAAACTCAAGCCAAACAGCATCCAAGTGGAATGCATTTTTCTCTTTCTCAAATTAAGACGCGCATATAATCCACAACACACAAGCGGAATAAGTGTTTTTAGAATTAGCCTGACCAAATACCAGCTCATTCCACTCAGCTGCTCATATCAAATTCTATAATCACTTTTCTCCAGATGCCAAATGCTCAGTCATTCATCTGATCTCAGTTATCCAAATAATTGTTCCCACAGCATGTGGTGACAGCTGTGAAGGTCTGACTAAACGACTGGCTGGAGAAATGGCCTCATTTATTCCTTCATTAACACCTGCTCTCATGGTGCAGCTGTAATGTATGCACGTGCAATCATGGAATCATTAGGACGCTGTTGGAAGCACAAAATGTCCAATTATAGTATATTGTGTTACAAAGAGTTTGCTCTGGAAAATCTGCCGCAAACACAAAGTTTAATAGAAAGAAGGAGCTTCATTTAATGTTTTACAAGAAGAATAAAACAGAGTGAGGACGTTCAGATTGAGTTGAAAATGATAAAATATTAAAAACAGCCTGAGAAAGGTCTTACTATTTAGTTAAGTAGTCAATGCATCTAAATTAGATGCCAGGTCTATTTTTTAACAAGGTTAACGTCCCTTTTTTATGTGGAGGGGGCGGCATTAAAAACACATGGATCAAGCTGAGAATCTGTATTTTATTTGTGTTTTTAGATTTTGAGGTTCTTGTGTTTTTATGTTTTGAGATCTTTGTGCTTTTAGTTCTATTTTCTTGTGTCATCTGTTCAGCCTTCATGTTTTCCTCCATGTAGTCAGCTCCAGCTCGGCCACTCACCTGCTCCTCATCATCTTTCCCCAGGTGTTCGTCATCTGTCATTAGTTTCAGTTTGGTGACCGCGTGTTTCTTCCCCATCCGTGGATTGTGCTTCTCCCAGACGTTTGTGTTCTGTTCCTCTGTGTTCTCCCGTGCTCTGAATTATTATTTTTTGTTTAGTTTTGCTGCCACGTCAGCCCTTATTTTTGTTCATAAATTAGAATCCTTGATTTTACCTTTGAGTCTCTTGTGTCTGTCTGGACTTGGTTTCAACACCAACGCTGAACATGATCAGCTTGTTGGTCTCATTTTAGCCTCAACTACCCGGTTCTGGTTGGAGATTTAGATATAGTCTTTCCTTGAGCACTAACATATAATAATTACATTGTGTGACTTAAATTTTATTATCTGTGCTTCAACAGATGTGTCCCAGAATTTCATGATCACAAGTTCTGAGCACACTGTGCTGCAAAAGACTGTTATGATTCAAAATTCTGGTGAAAAATCACTCCAATTTTTTTTTTTCTTTAAACAGACAACTGACAAACCAGTGCAATCCCAGCACCTGCTGAAAAAAAAAAAAGTTGTTTATGAATTGTAATTTGTTAATTTTGTCCACAAGTTGTTTTTCCATCTATTTTTTTTTCCTGCTGTGAAAACAAGAAAAAAGTAACAGATGAAAGTGTTAACTTGCTCCAAACAAGAGGTGTCGTGATTTGCTTTAGCTAACTGCTTTTAATATAATACAGTGTATTAATATTATAATAAGTAATAATGTGACTGAGATATGATCGCATGAAGCCAGCTCACATGCATGTTATAGCAAAATGTTGATATAATTTTTACATATTTGGAAACGAAGTCCAGTTGAATGAAAATGTAAATTTAAGTGTGTAAATGGCATTTGGATATGTATTATCCATAAAGGCTTGTTCTCTGAGGTGAAGTACTGACATGATGATAGTTTTAAACTAACGACTGCAAACTGTGTTTTGCATCTACGAGATCAACTTTTCTTGTCCGTCTGCTTATTTTACTTTTTCTCCTCTTTTTCTCTGTTCTGCTCTCTGTCCTTTTGATGAATGCATGTCTGTAAGAGTGTGTTTCTTCACTGGACTGGAAGCTGCACTTGGTTTATCTTTACATGGCTAAGTTGTTCTCATCTACTCTTTTTTCCCATCTGTTTTTCTTTTATCTTTTCTTCACTATTTGTCCTTGTTTTTTCCTCCTTATGCTTCACTAAATGCCCATTCTTTAGGACAAACAGATAAAAAAATGTTTTAATTCCTTAGCACACATTTCAACTTCCTGTCTTTTCTTTTCTGTTACTTTCTCTCCTCCTATCAGATCCAAACCTGCATTTGGATCGATAAAAGGGAGGTGGGTGAGCAGTGGACCTTTACACCTGTTTCTTTGTTCCATGAGCAGAAGCACTTTGGAGGACAGGAAGAAAAAGCAAACTGGAAAGGATGTCTATATTTTGTAATTATGCTTCTCTCTAACCTGTCATTCTTTCTTGTTGCTGGTGCATTGCTGTGTCCACAAAATTTGTTTTAATCAGTCTTTTAGTCTTTGTGTTTTGTCTGCCTTTCTGTCTTCAATGCCTTCTTTTCATCTCTTCTCATCCATCTTAATGTTGAGCATGTAGTCTTTCCATCTCTGAACATTTTATTTTTTTTAAATGTACCCTTCATTTGTCTTTCGTCATTATCTTGTTAATCAACTCGTTTAATAAAATAAACTCTTCTTTTTTTAATTGTCTTTTGAAATGTTAAAAATTATGTTCCAAAATCTCCATATTCTTAGTCTACAAAGTGTTTATCTGTCAGAATGCGATAAAAGTTGTCTCAACACATACAGTTCCAGAATCGTGCTGCTCAAGGTGGCTGCATGTTGGCGCAGCTGTTACTTTCATTCTGGGATGTTGCTTTTGACAACTTTAATTCCTCTTTTTTCTGGATGTAAGTTGCTTTATTTGGATCATTATTTCCTCTGATATCAGAGGAATCTGTGCAGATTGTGCTGTGCAGATTGAATGATTTTTGCTGAAACCCTTTTTGCTTTTGGACATTTTGTTATGATGTGTTACCATGGCAACAAGGTGATTTTTTTTAAACAATTGAGAGCACCTGATTAACATCTCAAAAGCTCAAACAATACCTCAGCTACAGCCCCAAATCACAAATAAGTTAAAAAGGAGGTACTGTGGCTGCATCCCCATCTACCTGGCAGAGGTGCTTGAGTACTTGACTGCCGTGATCCTGGAGCTGCTGGGAAACGCAGCTTGTGACTACAAGAAGACCAGGATCACCCCCTGACACCTGCAGATGGTTGTTCACAATGACAAGAAGCTCAACAAGCTGCTGGGAGGACAGCCCATTGCTCAGAGAAGAGTTCTGCCCAAGATTCAGGTGGTCCAGCTTCCCAAGAAGACAGAGAAATCCACCAAGTCCAAGTAGACAGCTCAACATCTGCAGCCAGCTTCTTCAGCTCTGCTCTAAGATGGACCAGTACAAGAGATCCTTCCTGCCCACAGCCATCAGCATCTATAATAACTCTAATGAAACCAGGATGATGAGTTACAACATTTAATTTCCCTTTGGGATTAATAAAGTATTTCTGAATTTAATTTAATTGAACTGTGAACATAATGTGACGCTGTGTTGATGAGGCCTTTAGTTTGTATGCTCTTCGCGTGCATGCGTGCATGCATGCGTGCATGCATGCGTGCATGCATTATTTTCATATGTACAGGTTTTCTCATACAAATCAAACATGCATCATGTCATTTTTATTAAACTCCACATTGTTTAAGATTGAATAGATGAGCATTGTGTTTATATAATTTGAAGAAAATAACCTTTTTTTAAATTGATGCATAAAAGGAACTTGGGCAGTTTGTGCAGCCCCACGTGTGCAGTTGATTTGAGCTCTAAGCTCCACATTAAATACTCTCTCAGCAGGCAGAGTATGTGTGACCCAACTGTACACACATGAGCAGAGCACCAGCACTGTATGACTAAGTACATTAGCACTATTTGCACCCACTGTGACACTTATTTTTTGATTTAGTATGCATTGGAAACATTTTAACATAATTTTGACTCGTCTACCACCTGCTGGCTGGTTATTACATCACTTCATTGTTTCCATCACTGGTGTGAATAAAACCTCAGTGGAACTTCCAATGACACAGGCAGCCACTGTGACTCGGCGATGGAGGAGAGTTATGTCAGTACTATTTTTTCTTAATCAGAATCGTCTAACTAAAATAACATGACGTGCAGAAATGACCTAAAATACTCATTTGCAACAGGCTAAAGAAAAAAATGACTGTGGAAAAAAATATGTTGTCTTTCTTGTTCTAATTGGCTGAATTGGAAATAAGTAGGAATTGAATATAATATAAATATATAAATAAATATTTAAAATATAATATTTGATAGAAAATACATTATTGCACATATGCTGAGGCTAATACTTAAAAAAAAATAAGAATAAATAAAAAACAACGTTCATGTTTGCATCTGTGTGTGCTTGTAAAGGGTGATATACAAACATCACAAACAAACAAATGTGGAGATATGAATTATGTTGAAAGATGGAGAGGGTGAATAAAAAGCAGGATTTCTTCTAGAGAGACAGATAGTTGTGCTTGAAAGAAAGCAGGGTTGTAGTCGGATGGAAATAAAGGAAGAAAACAAAGCAAAAAAAGAAAAAGTGGTGAAAGATTAAAAAAACAAGGCATTTGGAAGAATGTGCAATTAAAAATGGTTCAGCAAGCGTCATAAACAATGATAGAAGTGCAGAGAAAATAAATTAGTTTAGGACAAACCGTAACACGAGAAATTCAAGTCTTACTGTATCTGCTCAGTGAAGAAGCCCAGGAGCAGAAGAATGTTTCTTTTCCTACTGTTGACATTGATTTGTCTGGGATGAGTATGAAGTTTGTGTGTGTGCACACATGCTTGTAAATATGTGTAAATGTACAACAATATATAGTTAGAAAAAACTACATGTTGGCATTTTCCCCATGAATCAGTGTTTGTGAGACCTTGTCTGTACTCTGTATGTGTGCTTCTCCTCTTACCTCAACCAGATGTGGAGTCGGGTTGAAGCCACACAAGTTACACACTTGGCTTTGACACTGCGTACAGGTGTTGTAGTTGGGAGGGTCTGAGTTGCAGATGTTCAGCTCCGTTTTACAGAGAGGGCAGTTCACCTTGGGCTTCACCGGCTCTGGAGCTACCACAGGTCCTGCCACTGGCTCCTGCTTCTGCAACACTTTCTGCTGCTGAGCAGATGTTTGCTGATGTTGTCCTAGAACATCCTTTTGATATTGACCATGTGGTTGCTGTTTTGGCATTTCTTGTTGTTGGGTCTGTTGCTGTTGTTTTTGGGTTGGTGCATGTTGTCCACCTGTTGTTCCTCCTATTTCACCTGGTGCATGTGGCCCACCTGGCTGACTTGGTGCATGAGGAGCTCCCATTTGGTTTGGCAGATAAGAACTCCCCATCTGGCCAGGACCACAAATACCTCCAGTTTGATCTGGTATATGAGGACCCCCTATCTGACTTGGTGCATAAGGACCTCCCATTTGACTTGGCGCATGTGGACCCCCCATCTGACTTGGTGCATGTGGACCCGCCATTTGACTTGTTCCACGAGGAGCCCCCATTTTGCTTGGTGCTTGAGAACCACCCATTTGGCTTGAAGTTTGAGGACCACCCATTTGGATTGGAGCTTGAGGACCCCCTGTACTGAAAGGTTTGATGCCGGCAGTCCCTTGTTGCTGCTGCTTGTTTTCAGGAGTTGCATTACTGAACACCACCTTGCCCCGTGCAGGGCTTGGCTGTGTGGAGGCTGTTGGTAGTGGGTCAACATTGATCAGAGTACTAGCCTGATTGAGAAGTGAGGCCCCAAAACCAAACAGTTTGGTCAGGCCATCCTGGGCAGGGATCTGACTCTGAGGTTTATGGGCTGGAGAGGATCCAGCACTTCTAGTTTGGTCATGGTGCCGTGACACAGACTGATGCATTGGAGAACCACGGCCCAAATCGGGTTGTGAGGGTGCCTTTGTCAAACCAGGGAGAGGTACAGCCCCGGGGTGGGGAATCCGAGGACCTCCTAGCTGGCTGGAGCCTCCTGTTGTACCTCCAACACCTCCTGGAGCTCCAAGTCCTCTCTGGGAGTATTGGTCAGACCTCATGCCCTGCTGAGAGGGCCCTGTCTTACTCTGGGAGCCACCAGAGCCCAGATGTGTCTGTAAGCTTTGAGAGGTGTGAGGCTGTGTCTGGGGCCCTGGTTGTGATGAAGAGTATGGCTGGGGCTGAGACTGGGGATACTGCTGGGACTGGGAGTAGGGTTGAGTCTGGCTGTAAGGCTGCGACTGAGGTTGCTGTTTCTGTTGCTGCGGCTGCCGCTGGGGAGACTGACTTTGTGCCAAAGGTTTGGACTGTGCTGCTGCTGTGGGCTGTGTTGGCTGTGCTGCGGGCTGCTGAGGCTGGACAATGGGTTTGGCTTGATGCGAGGGAGAGTGAATCTGCTGCTGGCTCTTAGAGCGAGGCGTGGTCATATCAATGCCAAGAGCTCGCTGCATCTGACAATTCAGACACAACCATTCTTGGACCTGCAGACAGAAAACAGAGATGTTGTTTTTCAGTAACATTTCAAAATCCAATTCACTTTGAAAATAATTTAAATTAGACTGGAGTAATGTGTTACAAATATATTTCTTATCAGGCAAGAGCCAATCAAACCCAAGACTGTTTACCGACCATCAGTCTGCTAAATGGAAATAATCCAAATGTGCTTAGACACAATTCATTAGAAAATGAACCAGACATGTCCAGTCACTGGGTTTGAACAATGACTGAAAAAGGTGCATTGAATCAGTAATTGAGGTTGAAGATCTCTGTGCATGCTCAGCACTAAAGCTATAGACATGATTGACTCATCATACCTGTCAAAGTTGCTATTGATTTGTATACTTTAAATGTCCTTGCTTACTAAGACAAGATGCTTCTTATCATTTATGTAATGCATACGATGCTCATCTAACTTCTAAACTGCAAATGATCAAAATAATACAAACAGGAGCATAGATTGTGGGTAATCTTTCCTTCACCATCAAGAAAAGCTGAAAGAAATAAATCAACCACCATTTGACTACAGAGCTGAGTGATTGCACGAGCTGAAAGTGCGACCCAAGTGAAGCACATCACATTTCTCAAACATCCAATCGCCTAAATCCAAACTGACATGCAGAAATCAAGTGTGAACACAAGTGGGACACCAGCAGATACAGTAAGACACACTTAGTCAAATGAAATGAATGCATAACTGTCTGCATCTGAAAATAAAATAAAGCTTTACCCATCCTCTTTTCCGTCCTCCTCCTTTCCACTCTTCTTCCTTCTCTTAAGAACTGATACTCCTTTATGTCCGGACTGTTCTCGGCTGTCTCTAATTTATCCCGACTGCAGAAAACCCACAGCTCCTGAGCCCACATTGACAACCTGCTCTTGTCCTGTCTGTCCCAGTGAAGCTTTGCATCCCCCACTGCAAGCAAACTGCCATGAATAGCGCTGTTTTAGCTCTGCTGCAAAGCTAGTAAATCTCTGCACATTTCATGTCTGTCTTCCATCCCCTTTCCTTCCCATAATGCAATGCACAAATATATTAACACCCCGCTTCATCCTAGTACTTAACCTCCCCAAACGTATTACAGACAAACTATTACTTCAGAAGAAGAGGTGGTTGCTTAAAATTGAGAATGAAATGTTGAAACAGTAGAAAATGCTTGCGTCAGTCGCATCTTTCAACCACGCTGTCCCAGCCAGCTTTGCTGCCTGGCATTTCTAGCTTGAAAGCATCACTGATCCTATTTTCTGTTCTCACAGCGGCTGCAGCCATCACTACACTCTGACATCCTCCTATCCTCCCTAACATATTCTTTCTGCAGATGTCCCTCCTAACATCTTGGCTTTTCTAATTCTGGCGTGCTCTCTCTACGATGCGTCTTCTGTTTGTGAGTTTTCTTGTTTTGTTTAGCTTTTTGTGCATGTGCGTTGCATTTCTTGCAATCTTTCAGAACAGGAATAGCTAAAAAGGAGGGAAATTTGAAAGTATAATTTTGCTGTGCATGCTCTTTTTGCATTGTACTGCCATAATTCAGCTGCTGAAGATGGTGAAAACAAGATGAAAACCCCTCCCCTCTGCTTTATGAACCTCATCACATGAGACACTTGAAGGAGTGAGGGATATGTCAAAAGGAATGGAGAGGATGGAAAGAACAGGAAAGAGATGGGGAGAGAAAACGATGCAGGGAAAAGGAGTCAGCAGATTTATAATCTAAGCAGCTCTTCAGTTCCCAATACGTCGAGCTTAATCAAGTGCACAGCTGTTCAGAATACACTCTTTTGTGTAAGTGTAGTTAAAGTCAATGAATCTTTTAAATATCTGAGTTCATTTGTAGCAAGGAATCATATGGAGATAAGAATAGTTCCTCTTTATAAGAATGGTGAGAAATGTGTGTTCACTAATTACAGACCAATATCCTTGTTGCCCCAATTTTCAAAAGTATTAGAGAAATTATTTATAACCAGATTAGATTGATTTATAAATAAACAGAATAGTTTAAGTAATAGTCAATATGGGTTTAGAGCAAATAATTCAACTTCAATGGCTCTCATGGAACTAATAGAAGAGATAACAAATGCTGTTGATCAAAAACAGTATTGTGTTTGTGTTTTTGTTGATTTAAAAAAAGGCCTTTGACACTATTGCCCACACCATTCTCCTTGAAAAACTGAACAAATATGGCATTAGAGGATTAGCACTGCAGTGGGTATCCAGTTATTTGAATAATAGGAGACAGTTTGTACAGGTAAACGATGTAAGATCTGAATTTTGCGTTAATGGATGTGGAGTCCCTCAAGGCTTGCTTGTATTCTGTCTAAAATGAGCCTCTCTTGAAAATTAGTCCTTGTGATGACACTACCGGGCAGCACGGTGGCGCAGTAGAGCTGCTGCCTCTCAGCGAACAGGTCCCTGGTTCAAACCCCGGTCCAGGGGCCTTCTGGGTGGAGTTTGCATGTTCTCTCCGTGCATGCGTGGGTTTTCTCCGGGTACTCCGGTTTCCTCCCACAGACCAAAAACATGCATGTTAGGCTGATTGGTAACTCTAAATTGTCCCTAGGTGTGAGTGAGAGTGCATGGTTGTTTGTCTCTATGTGGCCCTGTGATGGACTTGCGACCTGTCCAGGGTGTACCCCGCCCCTCGCACAGTGATTGCTGGACATGGGCACCAGCGACCCAAAATGGAATAAACGGGTAAAGATAATGGATGGATGGATGGATGGATGAGACTACCTGTATAAATACATGTTAAATACAAATTTAAAAAAGCAAAGGGGATAATTAGTAATGGTATGGGCATCTTAGGCACAGTCATTTTGCAAAAAACAAACAAAAAAAAACTTCACATGATAAAACACAAAGAGACATAAAATGTTTCCATTCACAATAAAAGCCAGATTAATATTTTTGGACTTGTTCTAGCTGAATCTTTAACTCCAAACTTTTAAGCATTACGGTAATGTTACGGTTAGGGAATTCTAGAAAGGAACTGATGTTTGAAGAGGATCATTCCATCGCAACACCTCCTCCTTCAACCCAAAACATGAAAGCATCCAACATTGTTGATGAGTAGTACTCATTATTGTCTCTAAGAGGTTCATGGAAGAGTCCTGACAACTTTTTGAAAACCAGTGCTCCTACTGTGACCCATCAGACTGTCACATGGACACCTTGCAAGCGTGCCTTTGAGCCCTGCAGGAGTCACTTCATGTTTCAGAACTCACGCCCAAGTATGGTTCACATTTCAGCATGCCAATTTGCATGTGGAGTGTCAGTAAGCTCAGGCAATTTCCAAACCCATAGAAGGTATTATAGGAGAATAAAGTGCTGTGAGAATCTCCAGCCCTGATGAGTCTATACATATCTGCAAAATATGAAAAAAATCTGGAATGAATAGATAATTTTCTGGAAGACAGAATAAATGTATATTATTGTTACATTTGTAAATTATTATCCCTGCCCAATAAATTACAGTCAGTCGTGGAAATGTAATAATGGCTTCAAGGGAAGAAAATATTGTTCTTCCATGAGGAGATATCTCACATTCTGTATTAGTGGACCCAACTTTGAACATTAAAATGAATTTTTAGGCTGAACTATTTTCAATTACATTAAAAAACCACTTGATCCTCTTGATATGTGCTTCCATTTAGAGGTTTATAGAATACAAGGTGTCAAGAAAAACTGTATGTATGTATGTATATATATATATATATAT